CACACCAAATACAACTTCGTGGATGATAATTCAATATTTTAAATTAGAAATGCAAAAACTATGATGTGGAATGTAAGCAATGTAAAAATAATCTACAAACACAACAAAATTATGCGTCTCCCAAAAGTATGCAATTTTAACTAATTTCAAATTATTGAAAGATAAAATTTTACAAATCAATTCTCAATTATAATTTTAGGTTTGAAAAACTTAATGATTCGGAAATTTCTGTTACATTTTACTTGTTTTTTTTTTGTTTTGTATTTGTTTTTTATGTTACAGGCTTTTATTTTGCTATTCATTCTTTTAAATACTTGAAAATTGCTCAATATTGTGCCCATTAATAAAGGACAATGTCAATATTTTTCTTTTTTATTTTTTCTTTTTTTTCTTACTTATTCCTATACCATTGTATTAGTGTTTTTTTGCTTCTTATACCTAAATTATTCTATATGCTTAATATTTTTCTATTGTGTTGCTTTTTTGTCAAATTTTGTGTCAAACATTGACCCTTAAAATTGATTTTCATTACAAAAATAATATACAGAGAATACCAACAAAAATATATTATATTAATGTTATGTTAAGTGTAATATTAGGAGAAAATAATAAATTTTCTCAAAACAATACAAGAATATTTTCTAATCATCATCACTATTCCATGTAGATATACGCATGTATACATGCATATATTGAACTTATGAGTGTAAGATAGATAAAAATATAATCAGTGATGCCATTTTAGTGTCTTGGCTGTCGTATCAATCAGAATTTTTAAAACCTTAGGAGCAACAAATGAGAATCAAATTGTTAAAAAATTTTAGCGATTTCCAACGACTTTCGAACCGATGCGTTTTCAAATCGATGCCATTTTTAAATGTTTACCAATATAATATTATATTCTTTTCAACGGATCTCGTTCATTTTTCAGATTTCTTGAAGAATTCACCAGATATTATAAGCCCATAAATTCAAATTTGTATTATTTTCTTCAAATGATATTGGTTTTTAATATTTTATCATTGTGAATCTTTTTTATCATTAAATACCGTTCTATAATATATTTGAGATATTCTAGTCGATTTTCTATTCTTAAATTTTTACCAATATAGAGAATTTTCATATAGAATCTACCACTTTTTTTTGTCTGTGAAGGCAAGACTGTATATAATATGAATATTTAATTTAATACAGAGGAAATAGAAAATAGAGCAGTTCGAATACTTAATACATATACCAATGCTTGGAAATTTGGGAATTTTATATAATGATGACATGCTCTACATTGTGCACAATAAAAATTTGATATACTTCAACTATTCATATAGTGAGTCTTCCATCATACTACTAGTGCTGCTGCTACTTTCAATATTATTTCTACAATATTATTCATCACAGTTCATAATAATAACAAAACAATATCGTATTCTCTCTATATTAGATGAGACGAGAAAAGAGAGATGAAAAAAAAATTTCGATATTATGGGCAGTACTGACAGGCGGATTTTTAAATTGATTTTTTGTATAGGTCCACGCACGCATAGAAAATTATTCTGTGGTTTTTTTTTTAGGGTTTTCGAATCAATTTTTTTTTTTAAATTTCTCAAATATTGTGTATATATGTTATGGTATATTTGTTCAATTTTACACATGACATATTTATAATGGATTTGAGAGAAAAGAGAAGAAAAACGAAAAATTAAAAAGGGATAATCTTCATTTTTTTTTTCATCTCACATTGTTATGGTTTTCTCCTTTCGTTTTTTTTTTGTGTTCAAATGAACAATAATCATTTTGCTTAATGGTCTAAATCTATCATTGTTAAAACATAAGGATAGAGAAAATTTTTTTTCTAATATTATGAATAGAAAAAATTCAAAACATTTTTAGTGAATAAGCAAAAATATATATGTAAAATTTATGATGATTCAATAAAATATAAAAAATGCAAGATCTAATGTGTTTAGTATGGTATATTTCGACTTTAAAGTTTTTGTAAGTAATTTTAATTCAACGAATTAATGAAATAAAAAAAAACTATTAATTTTAAAAGTTAATGTTGTGGAGGTTTGGTAATGTTTTTCGGCGTAGACAACCAAAAATTTGTATAGTATTTTTGTTATAATGACATAAGTAATTAATTTTTAATGTCTTCTTCAGAATTCAGAAGATTACAATGACATTCAAGTAAATTTGGTATGCGTGGACCTTGTAAGACAATTTTGTTATTTTTTATATGACTTTCGTCTTTTTTGTGACTTCGTCGTCTTAATATTTTTTTTGTTTTAGTGTATGAAAAAGGTCTAAATTACCTTAAAGCTAATTAAGATTAGAGAATAAAATAATTTAATAGTGAACAAAAATAACAATATTAAATGGTTTGATCTGAAGTCAGTTAATAAAAGAATCACTATTGAATTAGAAAGTCAGAAATTTTTTAGAACAAAGAGCATTGAAAACATTGCATTTAATTGAAAATTATTAGTAAAAATAAATTGTATTGAAAAACAGTATTTTTTTATTATTTTTTAAGAATAAAATAATTATTGCATTTGTTTTTCGACAGAAACTATTCATTTCACTACCAAAAAAAAAAAAAAAACAACTTTTCTCGGAGAGTTCGAATTCAATTCTTCTGGTACTGTTCCTTCTGATTTTTGCAAATTTATATTAGAAATTAACGAATCACTTTTGCTCTATTAAAAATTAACTATTGTTTGAATAGGTCAAATTATGCCTGTCGGGTGCAGGAATCTGCGTAGAAGTCTGTTCAATTATTCGTGTTATTCTCAATTAGAGAACTCCGTCTCAATATAGGATTGAAACTATTGAAAGCAAAACTTGTTGTAAATTTATTTAAAAAATTCCGAATTGCGTGTGGTCGGTTCTCGATTAAAATATTTCATCAATAATTGCTGAATTTTATTGTATTATTAATAAATTAATGTCAAATATATTATAGGAACAATTTTTGTTTGAGACTTGCTATATAATTTTAAATAGATTTAAGGTAAGGTTCAAACATGAATACTTATTTACTTTTAAAATTTTAATCAAAAATACTTGAAATATATAATAACTTATACCTGCGGAAGAGAGAAATCTGAGTAAGAGAGAAATTTTATCGTTTTAAATACCCACTGTGCAGATCAACATATTTTATTGATTAAGTGTTTTTCAATATCTCGTAGAATTGGGGAAATTCATTATTCAAGTTTTATTTTATGAAAAATAAGCAATTGTTAACAAAACACCAATAAATTTAGAACCATAATAGTCACCGAAACTGCATAACTTATAAATTTCAAAAGTGTATCAAAAATCTTGTAGTTTCCTTCAAATTCATTCTTTACATATGAAGTACATAAAAATATTCATAAACTAAAACGTCCTCCATATTAACACTTTTCACAAAAATTTACATTTAAAATTTTCATTTAATTTGTTTCACGTGATAATTGCCAATTTCTTTTCTATTGTGATGAAAACCAAAATTTTGACCTCACAAAATATTTTAGAAAACATTTTATTAAAAAGTTTATTTCACAACTCCACTTATATACACAAAAATTTTACATTAATGACTTTGGTGAGGTGATAAAATTTTTATACTACTTTAAAAAAATATTGCAACTTGAAATACGAGTATTTTTAGGTCAAAGGACACATTTTATTGAAAACAATTTAATTGAGTTTTTTGTCTCCTTTACTGAAAATTTCTTACGTGTTAAAAAGAAAATAATTTGTCTGCTAAAAGTCTCCAATCCTTTTTCTTTGAATATTTTATTGCTTCTAATTATGAAAAATTTTGGGCACAGTACAAAAATATTTTATTTATTGATTACAATTTTGGTTAAAATAAATTTTATTTGGCTCTTTTCTCTTTTATTTTCAATTATATTTATTATACCTTCATTAAATTAGAAATTTAAACCAAAAAAATAAAGACAAATTTAATAATTACTTGACAATATTTTGTTTTTATTCTTCTTCACTCCTCGAAGGAGCATTAGGCTAGTGCATGATGTCATAGGTAGTCTTGCCACAGTTATATTGCGTCTTAGATTTTAACTAGGTAGGTGGCTATCCTTGACTATATAGTTTGTAATAAATGTAAAAAAATAGTGAAAAACTTAATGTTTAAAATCTATGTTAGTACAATTCAGAAATCATTTATCCCTTCTCTTTTGATTTAGTCAGAAAATGTGATTAATAAAATTGAAAATCTAAATGTTTTTATTACAAGGGTAGTAGACTCAATTTGTAGTAGTAGAAATTTTCAAAATTCTTCAAAATTTTTATGAATTTTTCAAAATAGCAGGAATGAACCCCACTTTCTTCAGTAACTTACCTAAATAAGAGTTTCGCAAATTTTCAAAATCTCTACTCCAAAACTCTATCTCCTTATAAGTTTAGCCAAAAAACGCTTTCAATTTTCAATCAAATTGCTGGAAATCAATGTATCGGCGACAAATTTAACTGGTTTGGATAAAATACTCGTAGGTCTACATATCTAATTCGAATTAAATTTAAAATGAATTTCTTACATTATAATTTTTTTTTTATATTTATCTTTAATAATCTTACAATTAATATTAAAAATATATTTATATGTACAATAATGCAATTAAATAAGTAAAAAATAATTAAATGAATTATACACAATTCGAAAAATATTATGTGTGCATATAAAAATTATAATATTTTTGTTAAAATCGAATTTATTTTTAGAGGAAAACAAAAAAAAAAAATTAAAAAAAAAATGAAATTAAAAAAAAAAACAAATAATAATATTAATTTTTCCTTGAACCTGTCAAATTCCTTATTTTCACAAAAATTATAAATTTGTACATACAACATTACATCTTTGAATGATATTCCTTATAAATTCATTTTTCTATAATAATTTTATACCCTAACATTAATTTTCTATTATATTTTCTTATTAATACATAGAAATAGATAGATCTATTCCAAATTATGATCCATTTTAAGGCACTCTATATACCAAGAGATGGCGGTGTAGCTGATATAATACTTCTAGCAACTAATGGATGATATAAATGTGTACTATAATGTAAATTATTTGGAGGATGTACATAAACTGGTGATGTTTGTGCTGCAGCAGCATATATAAATCTAGGAGTATGACGATGCTGTTGTGGCTGTTGATGCTGTAGATGACGAAAATGTAAATGACGAGCATTCAAATCACTTGATTGATGTTGATATACGACACCTGAAGCATCCGGTGATGGTACTGTTGATGTTGAATATAATGTTGCTGGTTTTGATGTTGTTGATGCCGATACAATTGGTCCTACAGCTTTATATTGTTGTGCTATTGCAGCAGCTGCTGTTGGTGTTGGTTGTGGTAAATGTGCTGAAAATGTTGCATAACTAGTTGCAGCAGCATTATTTGGTGCTGCTGGAGATGGTGCTGGTGGCGGAGAAGTTGCAGGCGCAGCTGCTGCTGCTGCTGCTGGTATATAATGTTGCTGATGTTTATATAAAATTGCTGGTACTGATGCTACTTGAACGTGTGGTGTTGAAATTGGTGAAGCTGAATTAATTGAATTTGTTGCTAAAACATGTTGTTTATTAGCCTGTATTTGATATGCACTGGGTTGATGGGTTTGTTGTACGGCAATTGCTGTAGATATAAAATAAATTAAAAATTAACTATACACCAGTTATGTAAAAATCTGATTGCATTTAATAATAATGTAAACATTTTCCAAGGTTAATGCAACCATACTGATTTGCTCTTACCGTATCCACCTTGATGATATCCTTGCTGATAATTTGGTACAACTGCATAATAAACCTGTTGAGGATAATTTTGTGATTTCGAATAATCAATTTTTTGAGGTGCTGCAACATTTGCTGGAGCAGCAGCTACTAGATAATGCTGATTAGTTGATGCTGGTGCAGCTTGTACAGCTGGTGCAGGTGCTGGAGCTGGTTGTGCTGGTGCTGATGCTGCTGCAGCACTTTGAGCATGTGTCTGTGATATTGAGGTAGCATATTGTATACCAGGTGTTGCTTGTTTTAAATATTCTTGTATTTGTGGTGGTATATGAACAGCATAAGCTAATTGAACTTGTGCAGGTGATGGTTGATGAGCATTTATAACATATTGTCCTGGAACTGATGCATAAGCAACTGGATGATGAACTCTTAAAGTACCAGCTGGAACAGCGGCAACTGCTGATTGACCTCCATTATTATTGTTATTATTATTATTGTTCGATACTGGTACTGCAACAGCTGCATATTGAACTGCTGGTACAGATGCATGCCCAATATAATCGGCAGCATAATGTACTGGAGCTGGTGATGATACCGGTGATGTAACATATTGAATTGTTGCTAATTTTGCATGACTCGGATGATAACCAGAATATGATAAGGTTTGATATGTTGTTGGTGCAACATTACGATACTGTTGAGTATACTGCACAGTTGAAGATGGTGATTCTAATTTATTATATTCAATTTGATTTACTTCTGGTTTAACATATTGAACCTATAACGGAAAATGAGAGAAAAAAATTTATTAGTTTTTTTTTTTTTCAATAGAAATTTTAAATTATTGAATAATGTCTGTTGCCTATATTATTTATATTTCATGTTTTTTAATCATTATAAATTCAGGTTTTTCATAGTAATTACAAGTAATAAAGACTATCTGCTTCCGGCCTCTGTAATATTTAATTGTTTAATTTTCAACGAATTAAAGTAATTTTAATTTGAAATAAAATCCTAAAACTCGATCAAATCCTTATAATAACTATTGATTAATCAACCAGTTTTATATTTTCCTTACATTTTATTACCTGAATTTCAATCTATAGTACGCAAAAGTTCAAAAATAATGTTAAAAATCGTTGTTAAAAAAATTTCTGTAGAAAGTAATTTAAAATTTTCACACAACTACAGGTTTTTGAAAATGTTGAAATAAATTTATTACACCAGTTTGTTTGGGTATATACAATTATTATATATAGAGCATTTGATCACTTATCGTTTTCCTTACGCAAAATTATGTAATAAAATAAATTATTTCTCGAACCTCTAAAAAACCAATTTACTGAAAGATTATTTGTGATTTGATAATATTATATTTCAATCAAAATGATAATGATAGCCTTTTTACCTTCTCAAATTGATAGGGAAACGTTCACTACATAATGACGACAACTAAACTTATCACCCTATATTAAACAACCTTAAAATTTCTCAAATTATCAAATTGCATACAATAAATTAATTTTTTTTTATTCCTAAGGTGGAATTATTTCCTAGGATGGATCATGTACTTTTGAGGCATGACGTTGAATATTTCTGTTGATGAATTGAAAACTAATAATACTCATAGAACTATTAATTTAAGTATTTTGTGAGATTTTGATTCTTATTGAAAAAAGTGCAGATTTCTTTAAATAATTTTCATAAATTAAGATCAATATTTTCATAATAATTCAAAGAACTTTTGGGGGAAATTTTTTCTAGCAAATTATCACTTTTGTTGCCCCTCAAGTACCCATTGAAATTTATAAACTTTAATTGATTCCTCAAGTTTTTAATGGATGATGAATATTTTATTTAATTTAAACAGAATTTCTTTTTGTCTGCATAAGCATCTGATTGATAACCTCTTTAAGTACCAGATGGAACGGCAGCAACCATTGATCCACCTCCTCTCCCTGTCGAAGTTATTATCTTCTTAAAAACAAAAACCAAATAAAATACCAGTAATGATTTTAATTTTAAGTACTTTTTTTCAGAAAATTATCATTTTTCATATTTATTGATACGCCATAAATAAATTTTTTTCGGAATTAAGGGCTAAAACCCTTAAAAAACTCAATTAATTCAAATATTTTTTGTAATCTAGTTGCATTTTCGTTTTGAAAAGCTTCCAACAAATTAGTATTTAGTATAATAATTCTTCCGAAACTAATTATTGCCCAAAATATAAAATACTGATTGTTACAAATCATTTTAAATCGTTGATGATAATTTTAAATCTCATTCGATTCGATTTGTTAAAATACCTAAGTATACAAAATTTTTTAATTCAGTAAATACAATTATAGCTATTATTAGCCCATATCATGTTCAATCTTCTGTAATGAATCTTAAGCAGTAACAAATTATGAATACATGTATAACAAAATACGAGTAGGTAAATAATTATTATTGTTATACAAGTTAAATAATAAGTAGGCACTTATGAATTATAAAAAATTTAAAACGAAAGGTGCAAACTTAAAATAAAAAATAATTAAAATTATAACCATAACTTTTTACTTTTCAAAATAATTACACTCTTTTAAAAATTCATATGGCAATATTTTGATTGTTTTAAACATAACGTGACAGCTGGGAGTCATTTTTATTTTTTTCCTCTATTTTTAATTTTACTGTCGTTCATTTTTACTGTGTTATGTCATAATCTTTGATCTAAATAAGTAAATTGATGTACGATATAAGCAAATATTGAGCTTTATAATTTGTTGATAATAATTAAAGCAAAACACTATCATGGTAGTTAGTTTGCTTTCTTCATTTGAATGCAAAATGATTTGTTTTCACTTCAAAAACTCTATAAGTGAATATTTTTTGAATAATCGTGGGAAATTTTACTTCTTTTTTTCAAATATTTAATGAATAATTTCATAACTAATTCTTTTTATAATTTTTTTAAAGTTAAAATAGCTTCACATATACCATATTTTAATATTTTTTTGAGAAATCAAGTGATTCGATTAATTATAAATGTAGTATAGGAAAATTTTGTAATTAAATTTAATTGAGTTTTTAATTAGAGCAAAATATGAGATTTTTGAAATTTATGATATTAAGTGCATAGAAAAGGAGAACAGATAAAAGGCAAAAAAAAAATTTTATAAAAACTAAATTTGATTTTAAAATTAATGGGAGCTAAAAAAAAAACTGAGAAATTATAAATGTGGTAACAATTTGAAAGAATCGTAATCAAATATTTGAAAAAATAAGATGAAAAGAAACATAAAGTAAAAGAGAATGACACTAAGAGCGCGAAAGATGTCAATATTGAGAATTTAACAAAGAATTAAATCCTTGCCAACATATGGCCTTACCTTAATTAGGGAATTTTATTAATTCTAATTAACAAATTTATATAAATTTTATTGTTACTAGAAATTTCTACGAAAAAAATTTTTCTTTTGTTCTTTTTGAAGAATACTGCACTCACAATTTTAATCACACTTAAAACACTCACTAACTATTATACAGAATATCTTGTATAGAAATACTATAGCAGTGCCATTGTATAGGAACTCATGAGTAGATAAAACTTTTGTATGGAGACGATACTCACAGCTTAACAAGTTCGGACTTGCAGTCAATTTCGACTAATTATTTTCCTTTTTGAAATTTTAAGTATAACTCCTTACAATTTGAAGATAGCCGCATTATTTAATATGATTTGGAAATTTCAGAATAAGGGCTTTCTTATGAATATCTAAGTAGTTTTAATCTGTTCAGATTTCGAAGTCACATGACCTTAAAAATTTAAAATTTTGATTTTTTCAGTATTAAAAAACTTCAATTTTCTAGGTGACGAAATAGGGGAGCTTTCTGCAATCTTAGAACAATACAAAAAGTTATATTCAAAGTCTAGACCCTAGATGTATTTGGCACAAATCTAAGTTCGATATAATGTAATAATGAATTTAGTTAAATTGAATTTTCACGGAACATTTAGGTTTTCTCGAAGAAAAGTTTAAAACAAACTTTGGTCCGATACCTTATATGCAAAGGCTCATATATGCAGATAAACAGAATGTTCCTTTAGGAAAATTTGGAAAAAAAAATGAAATAAATGAATATATGCACTTGTGCCTCGAATTATCATGAAATTATCATGATCAACTAATAGCATTTTTCAGAAAATATTTCTTAAAAAAATATTATTAAATAATCTTACATAAAAAATATTCACGTATAATTACATTTTACGTTTACTTCTGTAATTAAAATGAAAAAAAAAATTTAATTTATTAAACTATTATAATATAAACTGTTAATAACAAAACTACTTTCTTATTTTTTAACCCTGAATTACCAATCGTAAGTGAAATACCGCTATATTCTATTGTGTATAAAATTTACTCATAATATGAAAGTATATGAGATCATAATTTGGCAACACTGACTTAATATTATTACACTTTTGTTCATATAGTAGCCGTATACTATGATTGGTAAGTCAGAGTTAAACAAATCTTTAAAAACAAAAACACATTAAAAACTATAAAAATAAATATTTTTAAAATTTTCAAAATAATTACATAGTAAACATAAATATTGTTGTAACACCCAATTTTTCCTGTATAAGACAAGACCTTTAAAAGCTTATTAATTTGAAAGTAAATTTGTATATACCCTATTCGTGTATAATTTACATGTAAATAATTTTAAATGAGAATTTATACTTTAATTATAATTAAATTTAACAAGATAACATGATTTGAAAATTAAATATTTAAATATACTTTGCACTTAATCCTTTATTTTCAATTTTAATATATAGAAAATTGTTTAGGTAATTTAAAAATTACCTGAATTACAAAATCTATATATCTATATTATAATCATTTAGCTTTAAGGGGTAAATCTATAGTATACAATTATTAATGTATGTTATAACACCTATAATTTTCATTATAATTTGAAAATAAAGACTTTTATAACTTTAAAATAATAATCAATGCTGTAAAATCAAACTAAAATTATAAAATATTCAATATCAAGTTCATTAACACTTTATACATTCGTATATAATTTATCTTAATATATAAAAAATCATTAAAATTTCAAACCAAACCAAACCAAAAAAAAAAATTAATTCCAATAAATGAATTTACAATGAGGAATTTAATAGCAATATATAATAACAGCAAGTAGCAGCATTACTACAGATTATAATAATTACATTATACTCTATATATAGCCAGCCATTACTTAAATTCAAAAACTTGTAAAATATTTTAACTTCTTTTTAATTTTCTTTATATCATACATACATACATATAATATCCATAAATATTAACCATCATTTATAAAAATCAATAAAGAAGGTGAACAGAAAAAAATAAACGAAAACGAAAATACAAAGTTGAAAATTCACGGTCAATGACGTTCACATAATAGGTACAACATTTATATTTATATAGCAATAAAGGAAAATGCAAGTAAATTTATGACGTATACAATAATTGTAATAACATTATGATATTCGCTCGTGTATAGTGGATATAACAACATATTATGTTACACTATTGTTAATGTATACATTCATAAACACATGATATAATATTATTAATAATAATTGGTCGAGTATCTGAAAATGAACTCGAATAAAAAATTATAGAAACAAAATTGAAAATAAAATTTATTAAATTCCAATTCCCATTTCTTTCTTATTTAACATTCCGCGACGGACAAGACAACCACCTAAAACCAGGAAAGTAATAT